CAGGCATCTGTAGTCCCAGCTACTTGGGAGGCTGAGGCAAGAGAATCGCTTAAGCCCAGGAGTTGGAGGTTGCTGTGAGCTGTGATGCCATAGTAGTCTACCCAGGGCAACAGCTTGAGGCTCTGTCTCGAAAACAAAACAAACACATAAACAGAAGATAGATGGCTCGATAAATAAAATGTGGGATATCCAAACAATGGGATATCCTTAAGAAGGAAGGAAATTCTGACACATGCTATAACATGGATGAACCTTAAAGACATTGTGCTAAGTGAAATATTCTAGTTGCAAAAGGACAAATACCTTATGATTATACTCATATGAAATTCCTAGAGTAGTCAAATTCATAGAGATAGAAAGCAGAATGGTGACTGCCAGAAACTAGAGAGAAGAATATTAGTGTTTAATGAGTACAGAGTTCCAGTTTTGAAAGAGGAAAAAGTGTTAGAGATGAATGGTGGTAATGGTTGTACAGTGTGACTGTATGCAATGCTACTGAACTGTGTATCACGTATTTAACGATGGTAAGGGAAAAGAAAATTAAATAAAAAAAAAATCCCCAAACAAACAAGAGTCAGCCTATGCTCTTTCCAAGAATTATATAAATGGTCCTACCTGTGTTCAATAGATAGACTCTGGCTCTCTAAAATAAACCCCACATATTTTAGAAGAGAAAAACACCTCTAGGACAACTTGAAAACTAAAACCCTCCTTTGTCTGCAGTATCAGAATATTTCACACTTACATCTGCGTTCTGTGTTGTGAATCTCAGTTGCTTGCACTTCATTTTGTAGGCCTTGAATAACTCCCTGGCTTCTCTGGAGGTGGGATTGGTATCAGGGCATGACTGGGAAAGATTGTAAGCGCTCTTCAGATAACATGTTTCGTAAAAACCCAGAGAGGCAAGATTTCTAAAGAATAACACAGTTTTGAAAGCTGTCCCTAAAAATAAAGATCTCTTATATATGTTTATACATTTTTTCTAATTTATGTATCATTTACATAAATGCATTTAAAATTTTTTAGAGTTTCAACAGTTTGATCAAAATCAATCAAACTAGCTTACTACTTAACTACATGAAAATAGAGACACTAATGGTTTAGTGTCTCTCCCCTTGACAAACAAAAGGTTTTAGTCTAGAATTCCTTAACAGAGATTTAGTGTAAGTGTGAAATGATTATTTAGAGAAGTTATGTGGGCCCCAGTTTTAACAAAGCTCAAACATCTTCACATTTCTTTGGAATACTATATATGCCTAAAAAAGGTAACTTGAAATTGATTTAATTTCATCTAACTTAAAAAGCAATATATAAGCCATACATCATTTCTGTTTTTAAGAGATCATAGATTGAAAATCTAAAATCGGTCCCCATGTTCCTGCTCTGGTTGCACTGAAGAGGTGATATGAAGACGATTAAGAAACCTCTGACCTACCATCTCAGGTAAGCATGGAGGACAAGGCTTGCATTTTACAGGTGCCAGAGATAGCTTCAGGCTTTGGGGATGCCATTTGTAGACCAAAGTGATGGCAAAACGCCCAGAAATCTTCACAGTGATGAACCTATTCACCTGAGGACAACAGAAAGGAGACTCATTTCCTGCATAGAATCTTCCTTCACATAATTCAAGTGGAAATCAGATATTTGCATAATTCATGAAAGGAAATTTGAGACCGACATTCACAGACAGCTTCAGTCTCTTCACTTAATTCCACCAAGTTAGGATGGGTTATGGGTTTTGTGCTGCAAGTTCATATGTTGCTATGACTTACTCAGAGAAGGTAGATGAAGGTAGAGAAAATTATTTTGCAAATAACATAGTCATGCCTTATAAAGGTCAGGTCCATTTTAAGTTGAGAAGATGCTGTGTTGATTTACAGGTACTTCTAAGCCTTAATTTTATCCCTGAGACACAGTCTCCCCTGTAAAATATGGTTGATAACATCTGACTCCCTTGGTGTGGAGAAAAGTCACTGATGGTTGCCAAATGCTTGCTTACAAGTTTTATAAGTATCTGACTGCAAAACTCATTAAAGTTTGAGAGATTTTATAAGGGACAAGAATGGAAAGGTAACAATAAACAAAAAACTTCATTAAAACTCAAGTGAACATCTAAAGATTAGTAAAGCAAATTTAAAAGCCTGTCTGTAGATAAAGCATCCTAATTAAGTAAACTGCTCGAAGCCGCAAGGACTCTTGTTCTGGTTACAAATTATGCTCCATTGTTTCCTGAAAGCTACCAATTTAGGTAATCTGAATTAAATAATCTACTCCTTTAGTGATTTTTATTTTATTTTTATTATTATTACTTTTAGATAAAGAGTAAGGAAATCTTGACTTCAGAGTGTCAGGAAATTGGTGTATGGAATCTTTTTTTTTTTTTTTTGTAGAGACAGAGTTTCACTTTATTGCCCTCAGTAGAGTGCCGTGGCGTCACACAGCTCACAGCAACCTCCAACTCCTGGATTTAGGCAATTCTCTTGCCTTGGTGTCCCCAGCAGCTGGGAGTATAGGCGTCCACCACAAGGCCTGGCTATTTTTTTTTTTGTTGTTGTTGTTGCAGTTTGGCTGGGGCCAGGTTCGAACCCACCATCCTCAGTATATGGGGCTGGCTCCCTAGTCATTGAGCCACAGGCACTGCTCCCGGTTATTTTTTTGTTGCAGTTTGGCTGGGGCAGGGTTTGAACCCACCATCCTCAGTATATGGGGCCGGCACCCTACCCACTGAGCCATAGGCACCACTCAGTGTATGGAATCTTACCTGGTAAAAAGTTACTTGCCTACTCTTTACTCCCCTAAACCTCTAGCGTTAAATGCTACTTCTTTAAAATTTACCTTCTATGGCCACCAGAGATGATTTTGTAAATTGTATAGAATAGAGGCCTAGAGATTTACTCTCCACGTGATAGCCTGTGACAGTGCTGTCCAGCACAAATATAATGCAAACCACAAATGTGAGCAACATGAGTAATTTTAAATTATCTAGTAGACATGTTAAAAAGAGTAAAAAGCATGTGAAGGAAACTTTAATAACATATGTTACAACCAAATATCTGTAAATATTAACATTTTGATATGAGCTACATGTAAAAATTACTATTAAGATAGTTTGTGCTCTTTTTTTATCCTATATCTTCCAAGTCAGGTGTGTATTTTATGCTTGTAGTATATTTCTAGGATTCAATGACCATCCATGTATGTATGAATCAAGAACATTGAGCATGAAGGTTACAGACTGGCAGCTTAGGAGGGTTTGATTTAGTCCACTCCAAGTCTGAATTTTCAAATTTAAAATATTGGAATATTTCTTATAAAAATCTAAATTTCTGACTTAAAAAAATCATAAAATATAGTGACCCCAGTTCCATTGTTCCTGGCCTTGAGTAGAGGCTGCCCCCTTCAGGCTGGACACTTCCAGTTCACCACAGTTCCTGCCTGCCAGGCTCACTCTTCCATTAGTTAAATTTGGAATCTTTGATCCTGTAAAGATATATACCAAGCTCTTAACAAGATTGATTTCTGCAGAGTAAGATTGAAGGGGAAGAAATTTTCACCTTGAACACTGTATACTTTCCTATTTTAAAAGTGTGTTTTATGGTAGGCATGAAATGCTTTTCTTTTTTTTTTTTTTTTTTTTTTTTCTAATAACAATTTTTAAATTGATCCTGCAATCCCATTACTAGGCATCTACCCAGAAGGAAAAAAAAATCCTTTTATCATAAGGACATTTATACTATACTGTTTATTGCAGCTCAATTTACAATCTCCAAATTATGGAAACAACCTAAATGCCCACCAACCCAAGAATGGATTAACAAGCTGGGTATATGTATACCATGGAATACTATTCAGCCATTAAAAAAGATGGAGATGGCTCGGCGCCTATAGCTCAACCGGCTAAGGCGCCAGCCACGTACACCTAAGGTGGCGGGTTCAAATCCCCAGCCCG